TTCTCCATAAAGCTCATTTTTGTAGCAATTTTATTGATTCGGGTAAATAGGTTTAAAATATGTGTCATAAATTAATTTTTATGAAAAAGGAAAGTAAAAAAAGATAGAAAACAAGAAAGACGAAAGAAAGTTAAAAATGTATTAACAATTTAACATTAGTTCAAAAGCTTGCAAAATTACGCCAATTAAAAAGTTGATATGAAATCATCAGTAAAAATGTTTAGTAAGTATTGTGACACATACTACATATAATACATACGCATATACAACTATGTTATGCATACATATGTATATGAACATAAAACGCTTTTGAAAATTACTTCATTTTGATAAATTATTAAAATAACTTTATTATTGGGGCTGGAAATTGTTTGAAAGCATTTAATAGCGCTGTGTTAGCATTTTTTGTTGCCAGGCAACATGTTGCTAGGCGCAAATATTCAATGTACATACAAAACAGTTGTTGACAGAATTAAAGATGTGTTTAACCAAAATAATTCTGAGAAAACCCACATATGCCTTTTTATATGTTTTTTTATAAAACATCTGTTTTTGGGTTTCCCTGCATGGCTGCAAAATTGATAGACGTTAAATAAGATATATAAATCTTTCGGATTTAATATATGCACATTACTGCATGTAAAATCATTAAAACGAACATACATATTTTTGAACCCATAAAATACATCATTGTAGGCTATTGTTTTTTTCTCTGGTGAAAGTAACATTTCGCACAATTATAAAAGTTTCACTTACCTTTGCTGCCGCAAAACCATCTGGATTACAACTGGGTAATAGATGAATTTCTGTTGTATTCAACAATTGTTGCACCTCCGGCACATTTGCGTAATTCAATGTCAAATATTGTGCCAGAAACAAAACCATTTGTCTGCCGAGTGTCTCATCGCCATGTAGATTTGCCGTGACTTTAATCAATGGACGCAGCAAATCAACATTTTTGCCATTTTCACTGCGTGCAGTCAACGCAAGCGCATGCATTTGACGTCCTTTCACCGTTTTGCCAATGGAATACTTTGTAGCTAAGTGTGGAAAGAGATCTTGCAGTTTTCCGAAAAGTGCGCTGATTTCACCATTATCTAGATAATGTGGCGGAGGATGCGTAATAAATGATTCGTCTTCCACAATTGCCACAGGTGGTGATGCAGATTTCGGCGTAGCGGCAACAGCGATGTCGGCGACAGCAGCAGTAGAGTTACCATTTGCACCAATGACTTTTGGTATGCTGGTCATTATTACGATAAAACTAATAAAGCTGGCGCACGTAGCATGCGCAGGCGTAAGTGATATCACACGCATTGTTGTTAAGCAACTCAATTTAAATTAATTTATTTAAATTTGCAACGACACCGCACAATTACTCGCTGCACTTAGCACACACGCACACTACCACACACTTTGGAAACAATGAAAATTTTTTACTGAACTTCGCTACCGAAGCACCTATTTTATTTTTTACTTTTTCCTACTAAGGCAAAATCACTATAAATCATTTAAATATTATAAAATATTTAAGCACAGCGAATCTTGCGCATTTGTAACTACCGCTAGCATCCAATTTGCTGACGTTGAATTATTTTTCTGCTGCTTCGCGTTTCTTTGTCTGCGCTGCGCGCAAATGCAGATCCTTCAAGTTCTTTCCCACGCTTGTTTTTAAAAACACTTTTATTCTCTCACTGGACTATAACTATTCACACTGTGGATATACCTTTTTATATAACATTTAACTTTCTTATAATATTATAAACATTTTATGAAATTTGTGAATGAATAGCACAAAATTCTCAAATTACACAGAAATCCGAAACAAACTACGTGAACGAAACCAAACGGAATAAACTGAACTACTCAACAGCAAATGACAGTAGTAGCAGTGCCAGATTAACACACACAAATAAAGCTGAGAGAACGATAGTGCTAGATAATTTGCTCCCATAACCGAATACACCCACCGACTAACTTATTATGGAAATGTTAAATTTTATTAATTTATTTACAATAACATTTTAAAATACAACAATTTAGTTAAAGCAATTATTTTTGCGATCATCAATATATTTCAGAAGCTCACTGCAGATAACGTGCATAATATTAGATATGTATATTCTCTGGTAAACATTTTCTGATGTTTACTCGACACCTACAATCGTTCTAAACACATAGTTTTTATGTTTAAATCATAAAATTATTATTTTCTAAAAAAATTTCGTTACATTAAAAAATTTTTGTAAATTTATTATTTATTATATTATTCACTTCCCTCTAAAAAAATTGAAATACGACACCCTGTTCTCCAACCATCTTTGTTTTCATTCTGTCTTTCGTTCATTTGTCAAAAACATTCGGAAAATTTTCTGGTTTTCATTCGTCATTGCGAAAATTTTACCTTCGTGAGAAACATCTATAATTGCGTCAATTGCTCTTAAAATCGAATTATAGCCAAATATTTGTGACAAGCCTTTCAACAGCATATAAAGTGCCAGTAAACGTATTTAAATGTTTGTTGAAGACAATTTTCCTGTATTTGCAGCAGTCGCCCTAGCAGCGGTTATTCGCAGCAGTGGCGAAGAATTTTAAGTATCAAAAGGCAAATAGTGCGATAAGGAAGTGGAAGTGGTGCTAAGAAAACGTATATTATCATTTTGAAAGAAGCTAGAAGCTTGTGTGTTTGTTTGTTTACATACGTGACCTCAGCCGCAAAGCGAAAACCCAGAGTAAAGTTGGAAAATACCATAGTCTTCATCTACGTTAAAACTATTTTACCCGTACCCAATAAAGTATCTTCATTATGCCACAATCACGTGCTGCCGCGGCAGAAGCTGCGGCCACTGGTAGTGCCCCACAACCACTCGTTAAAATTGGCCATTATTTGCTAGGCGCAACGCTCGGCACTGGCACCTTTGGTAAGGTGAAAATTGGTGAGCATCAGATGACGCACCATAAGGTAGCGGTCAAGATATTAAATCGACAGAAGATTAAAAGTCTCGACGTTGTCGGTAAAATTCGTAGAGAGATACAGAATTTGAAACTCTTCCGGCATCCTCACATCATTAAGCTTTATCAGGTATATATACATTCATTATACTCTAAATTAGACTTTCACCAAGGTCAACAAGAGTGATTATTATTTCATTTTGCGTCACCTTGATATATTTAAAAGACTTCCATTTATTTCACTTTCATAGGTCATATCCACGCCTACTGATATTTTTATGATTATGGAATACGTGAGCGGTGGTGAACTCTTCGATTACATTGTTAAACATGGCAAACTGCAGGAACATGAAGCACGTCGTTTTTTTCAGCAGATAATATCCGGTGTAGATTATTGTCATCGCCATATGGTTGTACATCGCGATTTGAAGCCAGAAAATTTGTTGCTCGATCACAATTTACATGTAAAGATCGCAGACTTCGGTTTGTCCAACATGATGTTAGATGGCGAGTTCTTGCGTACTTCATGTGGCTCGCCCAACTATGCCGCACCTGAGGTAATATCTGGAAAACTTTATGCTGGTCCAGAAGTAGATATATGGTCATGTGGCGTCATTCTTTATGCACTACTATGTGGCACGCTACCATTCGATGACGAACATGTTCCAACGCTCTTCCGAAAAATCAAATCTGGTATTTTTCCCATACCAGAATACCTGAATAAGCAGGTGGTCAATTTAGTGTGCCAGATGCTACAAGTAGATCCACTCAAACGCGCTACCATGGAAGAGATTAAGAAGCATGAATGGTTCCAAAAGGAACTACCTTCGTATCTTTTCCCGTCGTCGATTGAGCAAGATTCGAATGTAATTGACACTGTCGCCGTTGCCGAAGTTTGTGGGAAATTTGGCGTTAAAGAGGCGGAAGTGCACAATGCATTGCTCAGTGGCGATCCACACGATCAATTGGCTATCGCTTATCATTTAATTATCGACAACAAACGTTTCGCTGACGAAGCAGCAAAGACGGAAATCAACAATTTTTTCGTAGCTGGTTCCCCACCGCCTGCCGCCCACTCACCCAGTGAGCGCGCTGAACCAGTTGGACCAACTGCCGTAACCACTGCCGGTGGCAACACCTCGGGCACGTCAACTCCGGGCGGACCAAACAGCGCTATGCGTCCTCATCCTGAACGAATTGCACCGATGCGTGAACGTCAATTGGCCATGTCTGTGCAGGCATCGGGCGGCGGTGCCTTCCCTGAAAAAGCAGCACGTGGCACACCCATCAAACGTGCCAAATGGCATTTAGGTATTAGATCGCAAAGTAAACCTAACGACATCATGCAAGAAGTGTATCGTGCCATGAAAGCTCTAGACTATGAGTGGAAGATCATCAATCCATATCATGTGCGTGTGCGTCGTCAAAACCTCAAGACAGGCAAATACTCGAAGATGTCTTTGCAACTATATCAAGTGGATTCCAAGAGTTACTTGCTGGATTTTAAGTCTTTAACCAACGAAGAGGTTGAGCAAGGCGATGACGTTATACTGGAAAGTTTGACACCACCACCGCTGAGTGTACAGGGTGCAATGCCGCAACAGCCTACAGGTCACCATACAATGGAATTTTTCGAGATGTGCGCCGCTTTAATTATACAATTAGCTCGTTAGATGATAAAAACGGCCTTTTTCGTTGAATATATTACACAACTTTTATTTAGAGTATAATTGGGCTCGCGGGATTTGTATTTCTTTAGTTGCATATATCGTTTGATGGTCAGCTAACTGGAATTTCGAGTAATAAAGATTTTTCGTATATTAATTGTTATAGTTATATATCGCTAACGCTTTTATTAAAAATAAAACTATTGAAACGTTTCAAAAGGCGTTTATGTTGCAAACCAGATAAAATTAATGAGTCATGTCTTCTACAGTAACAATTTCATTTCGTATTCCTCTATAGTATGCATTGTGAAGAGTAGGAGAATTTAAGCGTTTTCAAAATTGCACAGAAGGGCTGAATAAATTTAATTAAGAATCAAAATATTTACAGAAATTGTCAGTTTGTGAGTCGGGTATAATATTGCCACATCTTATTTGTTTATATTTTATATGTTAATATCGCACATTATTATAAAATCGTATTACGTACGTCAAAATATTTAAGAGAAAATACAATGTGTAAATAAAAACTTACATACGAAATACACAAATAATCTTCCATCTCGTTGTTTGCCACTTATCCAGCACGCTTGAAATATAAGTGAAAGTAACTTTTTGAGACATCGTGTCTTATTTATCCTTCGCACTCCCGGCAGCTTCGTCGGCTTGTTTTTTCTTGCGTTTCAACTTGTTGATTAAACTTTCTATACTATTTGCATCCACTAGTCCAATAAATTTATCAACCACGACGCCGTTACGGAATGCTAGTACAGCAGGCACGGCTTTTACTTCGAAGGTCTCCACTAATTCAGAATTTGTATCCACATCTATGGTAGCCAAGTCGATCTCTTCAGAATCATCTAACAGTTCGCTCATTTTTGGTGTAAGTATTTTGCATGGATCACACCATTCTGCATGAAAATTGACAACAACTGGATTGTCATTGTTTATCACCTGTAATAAAACACCTTGATTGCATAATTGTTCAGTTGTGTGCATATTTAAATTTTCCACTAACCTTTTGATCAAATTCGTAGTGGTCCTTGACATCGACTTTACGGTTATAAGAGTGGTTTTGCGATATGAACTTCTGAAGTACCGTACTGACCCCCGAAACTACATGTTGGCAATTACTTTGTGTGATACCTGCCAAGCCAGCAACTATGCGCGGCGTAATGCCTTGTCCAGCAAATTTTAACATCTCCGGCTTATTTTTTCTTTAACTGAAAGTAATCAAGTGAAAAATAATTCTTTAAAGCCAAGGAGTGATAAAGCGTGCTTTCACTAGCTCTCCAAGTAAATACCAATAATAGCAGAATAGTCGATGACGTGCTAATGAAGTGTGCAAAAACAAATACCGACAAACTACGTGCCTGCAGTTGAAATGACGCTTTGGCTTAGTCAGATAAGTTTGTATCTGTATTTCTCTATAGCGTGGAGTATGCAAAATTTTTTGCTTACCTGTTGCTTACAAATATATGCAATGTTCAATAGAAGTTCAGCTCTAGATACATAAAAATTATATTTTTAATAGAATTCTACTTCGCAACAGTTTTCGCTCAGCTGTTAAGTGACGTCAAGGAATGATTGTTTTTTGCAAACGATGCAAAATATAGCGTATATTCACAACTAAATATATTTACGAAAATTTCTTTGTTATTTTTAGCATATTGTTGTAGAATATGCAAAAGAATTAATCGGATCGAAATTGTGGAAAATAAGATTACACTGAAAATTATTAGTAAATAGGAAACGTCAAATGTAGGAAAACATAAAGAATAAACGGGAAACTTTCAACATTTCTTAAACAGCTCAGCTGATAGTGCTGCCGTATTCGTTCGGCGAACTTTTTGCAAAATCCTCTAGTGTTTTTCAAACTGTTGATTGGAATATCAGAGAACGTAAATTACGATAAACGATCTCTGAAAAAGGAAACTGATGACAGTGATTTCCGCTAGCGATATGAAGGAAGACAAACGCTTATTTTGAACTTTTAGGCGGGAAAATATTATTAAAAGAAATAAAATTTCTTAAGTGAATATGGACAACATGTAATATCTATATTGTGATAAGCGGGCAATTTATTAAATTGATTTGTTTCAAACTAACAGAGTTTCAACGCATAAACATACCTTTTGTGGCTACATTTACAAAATATATATATATATATATGGAGACAGAACAGTCTCTCCAACGCCGTTTGAAGTAGCGTCAACGTAGGCGTTGCTCACTACCGGCACATATGTAGATAAGATTACAAGCCTTAAATACGATTCTTTTATTGCAATTTCAGTTTCCCAAACCAGTAATTAGGTGCTCTTGAAGGGTAGAGAGTCACCGCGGTCTAGTCAATCGTATTGGGAATCGCACACGCATTATTGTTCAAACAAACGATAGCCTCTGACGTCGTGGGGAGAGAATTTACGCGCAGGACAACATATCTATATATATATATATACGTGTATGTATGTGTATTAATAAGCTGAAAAGAATTTACTGCTTAATCCGTAAAGAAATAAATATATATTATATATATTGACGGCGAAATATTGTGAACGATTGACTTGTGGTGCAGTGACTCGCAATGAATTAGTTTGCTACTAATAACAAATTGTTAAATGTATAAGTGCCACATGTAAACTTATACACACATGTAAACTTATACACACATGTTTGTGTGTAAAAATTTACTTATTTAATGTTATCTAAATTGTACATATGAACGTATGCAACTATACCGCTCAACACTCCATCTAAGTAGTGGCGAATACGGAAAGTGTGATAAAAAATATCGGCTTTGAATTACGCGTCCGAAGTAAATATCTACAATATATTCTACGTAAATAAATATATATGAACAAACACATGTGTGTGCACATGCTTACATATTCGGCGTTCAGTTTGCAAGCATATGTGATTTTGTAAACTCTTTCCTCTCCTTCCTTTCCGCCTCTATGCTGAATTCTGTTTAATATGCAAACGAGCAGTAGCAGCAATAGCAGGGACAGTCGCCACAATGTAGCAATGACAACACCAGTCACTCCTGGCACGCCCGATTCAGCGGGCATATTGATTGGTGCTGCGGGTCAGGCGGTTTATGAGAGGCGCAACAAAACCATTCTCCACTACTTTCGCGATCGTACACCGAGTCATACCCGTACACAACAGCAACCACACTACTACCAGCACAACCCAGAGCAGCAAGTTGCATTTGGTCGCCAACGTCAAGAAGCCGTCATTTATCTAAAGGAGCCGCGTTTTATTAACAAACTGGCGCTACTGAAAAGTTCGAGCACACGCGATCTGTCGCGTTTGAGGGTCGAGGAAAAATCTGTCGATATTATATTGCCGACTACAGTGCATTTTGATAGCTCCACAAACAGTAGTAAGTCTTCAAGCGAACCGCCAGTGGCTCAGCGTAACCAACAGCGCAGCTTAGACAGTCTCTACTGTGAAGGGTATTGTTCGAGACGTATCACAGAACTAGAAAAACGTGTTACCCAATTGGAGCAGCAAGTGCAAGCTGAACGAACGGTTGCCAAAGATCTGTCCACGCGCATACAGGAACTCATACGTCGCGTAGAAGATTTGAGCCAGTTTAAGGCGTCAGATAAACGAAAACTTGGTAGTTTTCGTAAGAAAGGTCCGCAGGCAAATACAAATACGCAAGCATCTGTGCAGCCGTCAAAGTTGGAGAAGTGGATGAATTTGTCGAATTGGTTTAAGCAACGCCCCAGTATCGCAACTTTAAAGGAACAAAATATCTACAATGGTGAGTGGAAACTTGCATGATCTATGTATTAGAAACAAAATTATGGGCAATAGATCAATAAAGAGTTTACATTTAAAAATGATATAACTTCCTACCGGTTATAAAAGAAATTCTTTAAATACTTTTGGCTTAATACTTGCTATTTGCCACAAAAACAAAGAAAATAATTTATTCAATTAGAACATTTAAAAGACATAAAGCATGTACCAAGCTTTTATATTATATATTCAGTAGATAGCAGCTGTAAATTTAATCAGTATTTCTATTGATATCGCTTTATAACGATAGGAGTTTTTGCAATATTTGGAAGAAGTTGAAATATAATAAAAATAGTACATTTGATTAAAATTACACATATGCCTAGATACGAAACTATGCGTACGCGACAAAGATAAAGTTTCCAAACACATGCATATAGTATGTTAAATAAGAGAAATTGCGTTTATCGGCAGGCTGTATGACCTTGTTTTGATTAGTGATAACCAGCGTTGTATAGTTCAAAGCTGTCCTAAATCTTAATTTATTGAAATAAACATGTATTTTAATGCTTTCTAAATTTACTTTTTTCGTCAAACTAGATGAACCTTGTTTCGACACAGATATCGAAAAGGTCTCGAAACATGAGATCCATAAAAACGTACCGAAAATCGTTGTGGACTGCTGTGATTTAATTTATGAACGCTATCGCAAGGGTTCGGAGGGCATCGAGGGCATATATCGACAGTGTGGGGATTATAATAAAATTCAAACTTTGCGCTTTCGTATTGATGCAAATGATTATGAGTCATTAAGGCAACCGAATATAGATATCCATACTTTAACAGGCTTGCTCAAATTATTTTTGCGCGAAATTAAAAGCCCACTGGTGAGCGCGAATGAAGCGAAAACTTTTATTGGTAAACCGAATCAGTGGCGTAAGTGTTGGTTTTCTTATAAAATTATGAGTAATTTTGAACATATGTTTGTATTGTACTTTTGAATTAATTCTTACAGTACTGACTGATTTGACAACGAAAATCGAGATCTTGAAAAAACTGATTCGAACTTTGCCGGAAGTCAATCGTGATACAATGAATTACATATTCGAACATTTCAATAAGTAAATAATTATTAATTGTTATTTCATATTTCATTTATAAACCGAATCACTTTTAATTTAAGGCTGACGAAAGTGCCTTTACAACAAATCAGCGCCGATACACTTGCCATATCCATAACACCAACCATTTTCCATCCCCTACAGAAGGGTGCTAATACGGCGGACTTGCAGGAAATAATTAAGGAGGGCCAATTGCTAGCAGATTGTGTTAAAATAATGATCGAATATCATAGTCGTATATTCGAGTAAGTTATGAATATTGATTTTATATATTATATCTGTGTGTATTGTGTTGTTCCCTTCTTTTCTAATATTTTTTTTAATAAAGAAATGTTTGAATTTACGGTTTCGCCTACTAATTCCATGATATAGATGCCCGGTCGAGCGGCGGAGGAAACGCATAAGTGTGCAGCTTCTCCGGAAAACCCTATCACAACCGGATTTAATTTTTCAAAATTTATTTTAAGTAAATTTGTATGTGTACAGTATTTCATAATGTAATAAAAAGTCTGTATTTATAATAAAAAATGTTTACATTTATTTGTATAAACAAATGTGTTTAGCCTAAATTTGTAGATTTTCACCCACCTTAATATTGACTCTTATTCTTCTTGCAATCGTAAACGATGTTGTGTTAGAAAGGCCACATCAAATATAGCCTCCTGCTGCAGCAATTCATGCACTTCGTACTTCATGGATTCTTCATATGCGTACAGGATGCTTGTGTCATAAAGCATCATTTTGCAATGCGATAAAGCTAGAATGCAATTCCGCAAACGTGCAATTACCTCTCGGTCTGCTCGTGGTATTACTTCATTCAAATTCTGCGCATAGCCACCATCTCCGCCATCAACTTCGTTATTCACAGTTGGCGATATCCATATAAAACCATTGTTACCAAGAATTATGGATGCACCACATGTCAAGTTATGAAAATGCGTCTTACGTCGCTTAACCAGTGAAGGAAAGACTTTAACAAGTACTCCTTGTGATAATTTACCATATTTCAAACTCCGTGTGTAAAGTGATAATGTGCCTTCATCAAAAATATTCTGCACTTCAGCCGATATAAGATCACCCTCTTGTAGATATTTACGCATCATTTGTTCATCTTCCACACCTCTTCGTCGCAATTCGCCGCCAGGTAAATTTACAGAAGACAATAACAATACGGAATCCAAACGCGAGTTCGTATCCACTTTCCAACGTCGTTGTTGTACTTCAGTAATGCGCGCGACCACAACATCTCCAATTTCACCTACATATCGGCTCTTAAGTGGTTTTATAGAAATTAGCTTGTTCACCTGTTCCATCACTCCAGCTACGGATGCTTTAATATCTTCACCTTCAACATAAGTGCCATGGCCCTTCATGAAGCCAAACTGACCAGTGACCACTTCGCCGGGTGTGTAAAGACGCGGTGCCCTTGTTTGGTTTTGTGCCAACAAATCCATATTGACACGATCAATAGCTAGCCGTATATTAACGTTTGTAGTCATTATTACAAATATTAAAAGGATATTATTATTATTATTAACTTAATTTAAAGAAAGTGATAAACAAAAGCAACACGCGAAAGTTCTTTAGTTTGTAGTTGCCAGATGCATAAATATATTTTTGTTTATCCAGCATTTTTAATGAAAATATATGTACATACATATAAACAAGTTTTCGAAATATTTTTAATAGAAAAATATTTATTTATTTATTATGTAAAAACATATTTATACACAATTATTTATTATATAAAAATACTAGATTCAATTGAGTTTTTTTGTCAAGTATTTTATTTGTAAACTTACAGAAATAACAATAGTATATTCACTACTTGTGATAAAATAAATTCTCATTAAACTTTGTGCCTATAACATACGTGCTTCCTTAATCGGCCAAAGTCGACAGACTACTCGACTTTTCACAAGTCCTAATGGTATTGGACCATAGTAACGTGAATCCGAACTGTTTTCACTGTTGTCACCTTCAATCCATATGTAACCACGAGGTACATATTCATCTTGGAATTCATTTACTTTTTGTATTTTACTTGTTACTAAAGCATCAATATCAGTTTCTATTGGTCTTGTGCTATTTTTCAAAACGATTCGATCTCCAGGTATCCCTACAATACGTTTACAAATGTATTGTTTGGGATCGGTGGGAGATACAGCAATGATTATATCGCCTCGACGTGGATTGTGAAAACGTGTGGATATGCGTTCTGTCAGCAGGATGTTTTTCGAATGCAATGTAGGTTCCATTGACGGACCGTTGCACTGAAAATGGGTCATTAGTACAAGTTGAGCTTTTATTTCTATTTCCACCTTACCACTACGAAATCACCGACATATTCGAAAGTACAGTGCGTTAGACAGGCATACATCATGCTGTATTTTACTACGTCTTTTACTCTTGAAAGTATAGACACCATATTGGCTTTAATTACAAATATTAAGCATTTTTTTACTAAAAACCTTATTTAAATATAGAAATTTGTATGGCTCGTATGAAATCAGCTGTGAGTAAAATAACTTTAAACAGCTGATTCGTTGAGTATATTCAGTGAATATTTAGACCCTATTTGAATATGTACAGGACTTGTCGGGAAAGTATTACGATCGGGTCCGACAAGACATAACCCGATTTACGGCAAAAACTTTTCAACCTTCGTAGCTTCGACGTTGATCTTGGCAAGGATAATCAAAGTTAGTTTGCTTTCATATAAAAGTTTGGAATGTTTATACCAATAGAAGAAATATGCAAAGGTTTATAAGTTCCTCTTCCAATCTCATTGTCATCTACTTCTGTATATCAATTTCCCCAGTTTATTCTCCCAGAATACTCTATTTTAAACGAATTTGAGACATTCAGTGTTGTTTATTATAGGTTTCATATATGCGAATTGAAAAAGATTTTTTCACCAACAAATGTGCATTAAGCATATAATGTGAGAGTTACATTCATGAATTCAGATATTTTAATTAGTAAATTGTACATACAAATATTCTATATATGGCTCTCCAAATTTTTCTTCAAATCTCTTTCACTCTTTCAAAATCGCTAAATGTCTTATTTTAAATTACACATATCAAATTACATTCAATTTGGTTGCATGGAAGAAATTCATAAATTTTTACAGTATATATTATATGGTTATTTACTCATCAACAAATTACAATTATTTTTTACATTAAACGTCTACAGATAAGGGTAATTTTGTTCCATGCAGTTATTTTGTTAATATGAAATGAGAATGTTAATTTTTTCAATTACATTTCTTCAACATATTATGTCTATTATCCACTTAGTCACAACAAAAATACTACTTTCATTAATTTTTTACCCTTTTTTTAGAAAAGGTGTCCTCAATGCGATATAATATATGATGTTCAATAATTAATTATGTAGGTACACTGTTAAGCCTTAGAATAAATAATAGAAATTAACTATTTAAATTTAAGGAAAAAATATTGCATTTTAAATACAAAATAAATTAAATTAAATACGACTAAACAACACTCATAATATTAATAATAAATATTTTAGCGAAACCCGCAAATGATCGATATATAAATTTGTATAAAATGATATACATCACAAAATTATTTCGAAGAATCCAACAGGTAGAATTATTCTGCCTTTTTACCCTCCTCCTTCTCACGCTTTGAAGCACGTTCGCGCATATCTAAAGCGACCAAATCAATACTGGCTACATAAGCATGCAAGCAAGAGATTAACGACTTCAGTAGAGCAAATGGCGCCATGAGGATAGCCAAAAGTTTAAATAAGGACATTCCAAAGACTGTCGAATTAAAAAAAAAAACATGTTTGTTAAGTATTCAACAATTTGACTCATGATCATATCAACTTACTTAATGGTCCGTAAGTGAAATATAAAAGATACAGGCAAACATAGAAAAGTTCATTAGCGCAGCACATAAATGTAAGTACATTTTTCTGATAATAAGTACGCATTATTATATTCTCCTTAACATCGAATGACTTGTGCGATGTTTTCCCTACCATGACGCTCCTAGAAAAATTTATCAATCAGTATATAAATATATTTTTAACTTTCACTTTCTTACGTTTGCATATAAAGCCAATGGCAAGCAATATCAATGGCAATTGAAACTTGGAACCAGAACATATATTTGGGGTAAAAGTAGCTGAGCGTCACCAAGAGACCCATAGTACCACAACGATCGGTCAATTGATCCAACATCGCGCCGAAACGTGTACCTAAGAAAATGAATAAAATATGTGTTTAATGTGTTTATATTTAATCTTATTTACAGTAGAGATAAATTGCTGACTTTTGCACTTTCCATATATTGTACAGAAATTTAAAAACAAGTATGACGTGTTTACATGCAATTGTATTGTATCGTGATATGAAAAAGGAAATCTCTGCAGATAAGACAACCACTATTGAGCTTTATTAAAAGTATATACTTTTACGTTTTAACTATGGAAATAGTAAATAATTCTTAGATTAAATTCCTAATCAGCTTATACAAATGTATATAGATAATTATTTTGATCCTTATCTTTATTAATTTTTATCAAATGCTAGTATATGATCTTTAGAATTTATACATAGTCATACTAAAAAAACAAATTTAATTTATAATTCTTACTTTGGTTAAATGCACGCGCCGCATGCCCATCCACGGCATCTAATAGAGCGCTTATGACGTAGCACCATCCGGCGGCCACATAATTAGTAGACATGCACCAGAAAGCTATCAACGCTAGTATAATGCGAGCATATCCTGTAAAGAGCAACAAATAACTTAGTAACCTCATATATATGTGGAAAATCAATAACTATTCGAATAATATGCATTGTTACAAAAATTATCTAAGACAGGTTAATTGAATTAACGTGTCATTCTTCGTTTATCATGCCTCCTACCTATATGTAATGTTGCATTACTTACGTGTACATTACATTAATACGTACCAATTAGATTTGGAACAAAAAAGAATACATTATCGTGTTCTGTCAGCGCCATGATATTATTCTCTGGATTTACTGCAGCTCCTAGTTTGCCAGCGTTACTATAACAAACGGTTGTATTGTATATTTAGAGACTGAGAAGACCCTTCCGAGCCAGCTAGAACTAATTATGACTATTCCAACGATATTACTAATGTTAATGGCAAATACCATAAATCCGACACACTTTGTTGTAAAAATGTTCTTAGTTGAACTCTATTTAAATTGAAACAAATAAATATATGATATTTTTATTTTGAACGTTTATTTTCTTGGAATGCAATTATAAAATGCTGGACGCATTAAACTGCAGTTTACTGGTCTTTTAATTCTACCAATTTTTTTCTTTCTGAAAGAGTTTCTACAACAAATTTGGAGCAGTACGTTCAGTGTATGGCGAAGCAAAGTAGAAAATAATACTGTCAGGGTGGCGGAGTTTCAATAATTAGGCGCGAATTAATCTTCGATTTTTTACCTTTTAAATAACGAAAGAAAAAATAATCTATTCAGTGCGGATAAATGAAATTTTAAAATGCGCTTTCCATATATCTTTTCCTCATCATACCTTTTTCTGCATTTAAATAAATGTAATGTTGAGAACTTTTGGTTGCAACTCTGCAGGGTAATTTGCTCGTTCATCGCGAAGTCGAAACGAAACGAAAAAACCTCGAATAGATTTTCTGGTCACAGTCCTTGTGAATTTTGAGCAGACAAATTCGTGCATTAAGACTTTGTGAAAATTGTTAAAAAATAACAAAGAATATTTATTTGACTTAAAAAAACTTGAAAAAACTAAAAGCAAGTTATGAAAGGAACGTGTTGATGCAGAAAATGCGTTGAAATTTTCAATGGCTAAGGCACAATGAAAAAAAAGTAGAAGAAGCATTAGTGGCAGTGTGTGTAAATGTTCAAAGCAGAAAAAAAAGTTGGAAATACGGCGTGAATGAAGAAACGTAAATGTAAGAAAAGGATTGGAGTGCGGGCAGAAAAGTAGTTAAAACGACGAAGTAAGTGTATGTAGGATTTTGTGCGTAGCAGTTACCGATCGGCTGAAAGTTGTGCATTCAACACTACGTACAATGTGATATTTTTTGAAAAATAATTTACTAAATCGTAAATATACTTGACGTAAAAAGGTTGATATATTTGTAAGCTATTATAGACATAAGTGAACTCATGTTGCTAACGGGAAATTGTGAAAAGGATAAACTAAATGAGTTTGAAAATTAAATTCTAAGGTTCAAGCTATTGCATATGACGTGTTTTCAAACCTCTACCTTGTGAAAGATGAGGCAATCTCATGAAAGTCATGCGCATATTGTACAAAACTCTAAAGTAATTTGACTATGATATAAAATATGATTTGTGAATCAAGACCAAAGTTGTTTGTTGTGAAGGAACCAAAAAAATTACCTGCCCGTAAATTACCTCATTTTGTACGATCGCTTTTCAAAACCAATTTAAGGTGTATTTGCGAAAATACGAAAAGAAAAAAGGACAGGGTTGCAATATTGTCTCTCGTATGACAGATAAGATTAAGTATTTATTTATTAGAATGTTTACTCAATTTAATTGCTAAAGTGAATCTTTTCTGCTATTTACAAATTTTGGCTGTATGTAATTTTCAATTATTTTAACGTTTTCTTTAAAAGACTTCTAAAATTATAACCTTAAAAGTAATCTTTGTTTCCATTTTAGATTTTCATACATATTGTTGCTTTTCTTCGATTCACATATTACATTGTAGTGTTGTCTTTTTTATTCAAATGTGGTTGCAGTATGCGGCATGTCGGCTTAAGCGAAGTTTTTTTTTTTCTTTTTGTCAAATCGCTGTTTTTTATGATTTGCTTTGTGTATGTTACGCAGCGAAAAATCGTGTAAAATGATATGAAAAGTTTTTAAAATTCACGGGAATAGAATGAACTTTTTAAAAATATATTAAAACAATTATTATGTATTATATATATAATTTTGGAAATAGATAGGTTAGTAATGATACAAACAATAAAGAAAATATTCTGATGTGTTATTTGGTTTTCAGTGCAACTCTTTGACAAGTAAAATGACAAATTAAAAAAAATAATTAGTAAATCATTAAAAAGAAATACTTTGGCAGACAAAGCAAAAACAAAATCATTGATTGTTATAAAGTGCTGTCACTGCAATTGTGGTTACATACGCAAACGTCGCCATAGCCACGTACGTCCGTGGCGGATACACCGGCATTGGACAACTATCTGGCTACTCACGCTAGTGGAACAGAACGATTTATTTGAACAACGAGCAGAGTATAGAATTACACATTATATTCAACATCACACCGTACATTTTTACGTTGGTCGCAAAAATTCATATTAAGAATTTTGCATAAGATCCGACTTGCGGGCTATCAAGCACATACCAATAATTACACTATTTTAATGGCATTTGTTTGCCCACCTCCCCCTCTGATGCGGAAAAATGAACAATGAAATCAGTGGTAAGACTCTTCTATCCGTCACCGCATCGATTGCCGCTACCATTATACCTGACACACCTATTGTGTCCATAGCCGGTGCCACTTTAAGTGAAATAACCACTACAACAACTTCAACGACAACAACACCAACACCAACATCTTTCATACCATCAAATAAAACCAACAAAGACCATATAAACGCCAATTTGCCAAACAATCCAATGTCTGATGCTGCTGTCGCCAAGTCAGCTGGAGGCAACAGTACCGCCGCTGCAAACAATACCACATCTAATACACCCGCAGATACAGGTGGTATCGCCGGCAAAAATTCTTCACTAGAACATACCACTATTGTGAACATTGCCAACGCTGAAAAATCAGATGACGCTATTGCAAATGCATCAACTGACACAAAGGTAAGTTTAATTCAGCGATGTTCCTATATTTCTTTAGTTCTAGTAGTGCTACTAAATCACTTAATGCGACCTGTAATGTAAATGTATAATTTAAGTTTGCGGTTCTCATACGAACGGTGCGTATTTGATATTTAACATGTATAAATATGTGTGAGGACGAAGGCCATCATCACACAGCAGCTTATATGGAAAGACAACTGCTAATGAAGTTTAATAAAAAAACGTAGGAAATCAATAGTGTGGCCTTAAAAACGTTCACCTTTCTCCTAATACCAATATGCACATTTAAATCTGTTGTTTTTGCAGCTTTAACATTCTTTCCTATCTATTTATCTAACTTTTGTATTTCACAGAACATTCATAATTTTTTTACGCTAATTATTAATATCTTTAAAAAAAAACAAGTGATAGCGACGCACATATACTTGTATATAGTATGTTCACATATCTGTATATACATACATATTTATTGAAGATAAGGCCATGTCATATGAACTGCATTATTGGACAAATAACTGCATACAATATTACTAATTTAATGGAAGATAATTGACTCGCTTTAATACATTTTTTAATATAGTTTAGCTATTTTTATAATTAGTGTCTAGTCCATATTGTATAGAATATTTCCCATAACCAAATGTTTACATAATTATATATTTCAAACTATATTGTCAATGGCAGAAACTAAATATACACTATTTTTTGACCTTCACCTTTTGATCCGTACTTTCTAAGTTGACCGCAACAGCGACATCTAATCCGTTCCACCCAAAATTGACACATTGTGCAATGCAGAGTTTGTCTTAACACGTTTATATACTGGTCTCCAGTTCCACGCACATTTTCTATGTAGTAATTTAATGTTGTCAATGTTTGTTGTTCATATGCTCATATGCCCATATACATACATGTATGGTGTACTTTATAAATTCTTCATTGTTTTTTTTTTAACTTATTCACATACATGCATACAAATTAACATCCTTTTTTGCATTTTCGTTTGTAATCCTTACCCCTTCCTTCTTATTTACATGGCTACGTGGTAATGGTGACAAAACAGAATCATAACTAAGTCAAAACTGTTCGGTGGTTAGATTTTACCTATCAGCACCTAATAGAAAATAATAAACTTATAAACATAGAAAACCGCAATGCTCCGTTAGCGGCGAGCGTTACGACAACTCCCAATTACTGAAAAGCAAAAGCAACACAGATCGAACACAACGGTTTGGAATACTTGGTTTGGTGAAACACACATAGGCCGTTGGCGTTCGGTGTATGTCCGTCCGATAGCAAATAAAGGGGTAAAGTGTTTCGATTTAAAGGCAAACCAAAAACCGCATTACTGCAAGGGCAGCGCAACATCTAATAATATATTTTTTTATTATATTTTCATACATATATCAATAAATTTTTATTGTGCTCAACATTTATAGTGAAATTATAATAAACTTAAATGTGTGGGACGCAAATTCATTAATGTGTTTTTCATATCGAATGTGTTAGTAAAAAGGAAATTATTACAAAACCAGTGTGCAAAGAATATTATAAAATAAGAATTTATTAAAGCAAATTTTGTAGCTTAATTAAAAATGTTCTTTCTTCATGTGAACAATTAACAGATTTCACTAAAACCAAGTACTAATATCTGCTTTATATGCATGTAATTAGGTTATGATTCGTTTTACGTTTTAAGATCTTAAAATTAAATAATTATTATATATTTTAGGTGATTGTGCGCTAATTTTAACCGATAGAGAGAATTACGATTTCTTTTTTAGTTTAAAATACATTTTCTCTTCGATATTACAGAAATCTGATATCTCCGATTTAGAAGAACCAGAGTTAAAAAAGCTACTCGACGAGGCCTACAATTATAAGACACCCAAGGACAAAAAAGATAAAAGCGAAATATTCTTGGTTGGCAAACATTAATTTTTCTTTTAAAAATTAATACTTAATAATAAAAATGTATATGTATATTATAGGATTTGCTGCAGAAGGTGGAAAATGAAGATCTGGGCATAACATCGACACGTGCGGATAGTCATCGTCATCATCCGCATTCACAGAGTCGTCATCAACAGAAGCAGGGTGGCTCATTGCAAGATCTCTTACAGCTGCCATCCGATTATCGACGCCAAAATCATACATCACGTCACAAGAAAAACTCATCCGTGTCTTCACGGCAACGTGAGGGCGGAAGTTTACCCAGCAACGTCAATGTTGCCAATTGCTTGCTAAGCAGCTTTGGTCAACAATCGTCCATATATACGGATAAACGTGTGCGTCGAGGTATTTTGCCAGGCGTGGAAAGTGCTACAGTTTCTTTGAAAAGCAACAAGACATTGGTTGGCGTAGTTGGTCTGGCTGTTAGCGACCCAAACGCCAATTGTTTGCTTAGTAGCTTTGAACAGCAGACACCTGCCTACGCGGATAAACCTGTTCGTCGTATTCTTGGTCTTGCTGGTGGTGATCCCAACGCAACTACTGGTGGTACAGGCACCAGTGGCAGTTCTGGCACGAATTCAGTAGGTATATGTAGCAAGGACAGTGGCAACAGTGTTGGTGCTAGCGTGACAAGTGTCATTGGAGGCACTGGGAATATGGCGACCACAGCGAGTGGGCATAGTGTTGGTGGCACGATGGCAACTGGCGCGGGTATTGTTAATAACCCAGTAAAAAGTGCCAATTCCATTACTGGTAGTAGTGATTATATTATTAATATTGGCGATATGATCGATATTCAACAGCAGCAACAAATTTTACCATCGAAAGCACAAGACGGCGGGCAGGTAATAAAAATAGCATGTTTTTCATATTTTTTCTTATAATATTGTTTTACTATATTATAATATAAGGGCTTGCCGTATTATGAACGTGTGGATATTGATATGCGCATACCGCGTCCAAATTTGCACCGAGGAGAGGGTGTAGATTTCGCCCCAGCACACTCCCATCATTATGTAGACGAAGTAATTCGTTTTCATCAAATCGATGGCGGAGATGGTAGTTTGTGTGAGAGTGGTGAAGTAGCCATTTCAGTTAACAATCTTGGCAACAAACTCAAGTCGGCAGCTGCGTCCTGTTCCCTCCCGATGCCGTTAGACGAGCGATACCGGTCCATTAAATCGGTGATGGGTGAGAAGGGCGACAACGCCGGCGCCAATTTGAATACAGCAGTTACAGCAAAAGCTTCCGGAACAATAACATCAAACAGTGGTGGTTCAATCAGTAACTCAAATAATAATTCAGGTGGTGGTGTCGGCAGCAACAGTATCGGTATAGGCAGCTACACAAAGTCACTACCATTATCGGTAAGTTGTAATACAATGCAAAATAATTGAGAACCTAAATATTATTATGTGTTATTTCTACTGCACCAGCGTCAGACTGACGAGAACGGCAACGATTGCGAACGTCAGCAGCACAATAGCAGCAGCAGCAGTATTACTGTTAGCGCAGGTCAATCGCAAGCGAAGGCCAAAACTAAGAAGAAGCCACAAAAGGACAACACCATACCTGTCGATGTTGAGAATGAGGCTGGGTACCGCGGCAAGGATCCTGTCGAAGTATTGCTGAAGTTCATAGAAGAAGATACCAAGCAGAGTGGTAGTGGTGGCAACAAATTCGCCGAAAATAATAAAAAGAAAGAACGTAAAAAGGAGAAAGTGAAACAAAGTAAAATGAAGAAAAGCAATTCACTGGAGGAGTTGCGTAGTTGTGCCAAGATCGATGTTGGTGAACTTAAACAATCAGCTGCCACTACTGAGAGCAGTAATGTCACAATGCGCAGCAAAGGTAGTGGGGGTGGCAAGGGTGGCAAGAATAATTCTGCTTCTATAGCTGATATAAATAAAAACTTCGATGGTGGCAGCAAGGAAGGGCCAAACACTTCACCAACTAGCGGTGGCAAGCAAGCGAATGTGGTTGCCACCAATTCAAATACAACGGTGAGCAATCGCAAAAGCGAACGACGTTCGTGGGGCACTGAGGAGTTGCAATATTTGGGAAGTGAAGGCAGTGTTGGCGGTGCTGGTAGTAACAGTGGTTCCGTTGTTGGTAGCGGTGAGGACAAGGTGAAGGAAAAGAAAGATAAGAAAAGTAAGGAGAAGGATAAAGATAAAGAACGCGATGTAGAAAAAGAGAAGGACAAAGGCAAGGATAAAGATAAGGAGAAGGAGAAGGAAAAAGACAGTGATAAGCATGATAAACTGACAAATAATAAGATTGACGGTAATACAAAAACGGATAAACAAGAAAAAAATGATAAAGTTGAAAAGGCAGAAAAGCAGGAGAAAGTTGAAAAGCAGGAACGAGCCGACAAGGCGGAGAAACGCAAAAGATCCGAGAGCATTATGCAAACTCCGATTGCCAACTCAGTGGAGCGTCAAGATGCCGGTACACCGGTATTCTCGGCAATCGACTTGTTGTCTATGAATGCGCTGATATCCGAGACGGCTGAATTTCATGTGGTTACCAAAAAGAAGAAGCCAAAGAAGCAGCGCGCTTCCATTGACGAAACTCATTTTACACAAAACTCGAATTATAACAACAGCAACAACAACAGTGGCCACAACAACTATAATAATAGTAATTGTGGCACAACTTCGCGAGCGCACAATATGGTATTGAATGCACAGAAAAATAACAACAACATCAATAGTAATAATAATAACAATAATGTGTCACAACAACAACAGCAGCAGCAACAATCACGCTGTCTCTTATACACATCTAGATGTGTATAAGAGACAGCAATATGGTATTGAATGCACAGAAAAATAACAACAACATCAATAGTAATAATAATAACAATAATGTGTCACAACAACAACAGCAGCAGCAACAATCACGTTATAAATACCATAACAATAATGCGCATGGATTTAACGCTTATGGAAACGGTGGTGGTAGTGGAAATAACAACAATAGCTTTGGCGAAGATGGACGTCTTGATTATCGCAATAATTACAATTCCAATTATAATAATAACTACAATACCAACCACTCGCATCAGCAGTATGGCTATCAACACCAGCAACAGCAGCAGCAAGGTCCTTACCATCACCATCAGCATAATAATCAACAACAACAACATCAGCATCACCATCATGCTCACAATGTGAACAGCGGCTCCACAGACAAATCGCGCCGTAAATCAACTTCCTCAGTGCCACCTTCGGAGAAATCCGATTCTAGTGATCTCGATTCAGTGCATTCCTTGCCCATAGAATCAACCACAGCTTCAGCGACCAAAAACAAACAGCGTCACAAGCAGACCGACGCATCGACCACAGCTACGCCAGAAACACCGAAGAGTACGGCGAGCGGTGGTTCACCAGGTTCGGCGCCGATTTCCTATGCACATATCGCCGCGGCAGCAGCTGCGGATCGTTGGCCCAGTCTGGACGCTGCTAACAATAACAGTGCAATGGCAAATGGCATTAATACCTCTCCTACTATTGCCAACAATGCGGCCGAACAGTTGCAGACACAAGTGACCAACAATTGTGAAATTGCTATATCCGCCTCTCTGTCAAATGCCAGTAACAGCCCCTCCACGGCAACAGCAGTTGTTGCCACATCAATAAATTCTGCCAGCAAACAGGGTAAGAGTAAGAAGCTCACCATCAAACCGGATTTCCCAGAGCTGGGTTCTAGCAGCGCTACGATTGCGACGACGTCAGATAACAGCAAGCCAAACATAGCGTCCGCAGCCATTCCCGTGATTGCCGCTGCTCCGAAAACTATATCATATTCTCAGAGTCTAGTTGCCGCACCCGCACAATTAATCACCCAGCCTAACATTGGAAGTATTGCAAACGGTGAGAAAGTGGCTGGCCCCACAGTCGACGCAGTCGTTGCATCTACCGTTGCTGCTGCTCCTGCTGTTCCAGACAGCAATACCATAACGGATGTCAACAAGGTTGATACCATCAATAGCATATCGGCCTCGGCGCGTTTGCCACAACAGCAGCCAATGCAGCACCAACATTCTCAGCATCAAATGCAGACTCTACAAAAGTCAAAAAGTGTCGAAAACGATAGTTACAGTTTCAACAGTAGTAACCTGGATCAACAGTATCCGGCCTTAGAAAAGACAGTGAAACGTCATAGCGCCACTAACGTATCTATTTCACCACAAACGGCTGCCGCCACACTTGTTGTTGGCGCAGTAGGCAGTAGTGGTATTCAAACACTGGCCACCAGTTCGGTGCCACCCGCAAATGTTACTAGTTCCACTAAATTTAATTTCGCCGCGGCTGCCAAACAGCTCGTAGTCAAAAGCTGTTCTATGTCACAACCGATGTTAACACAAGACCCGACAATAGCAGGAGCAGCGGCGCAGCCATCAACAGTTTCAGCTTTAACTACCTCAGGCCCTCCAGTTGCATACCCAACAGTACCGGGCAACGCGGCCATTACTGCTGCAGCAAATGTTACGGTGGCGCCAGTAACAATGCCAGTTCGCAAGTCAAAAGAAAAGTCACCAACAGCTGTATTTGCGCCGCCGACAGCGATCAGTGCACTTGCAACCGCAGCAGTAGTACCAACAGCAAGTGCAAACTTAGCTGTCCAGACGCCCGATGTAAGCGCTGTGATCATTACTGCACGGAAAAGCAAGAAAGAAAAGTCACAGCCAGTGCTTATCGCAGATCCGACCATAAGCTTAACAACAATCACTGAGCCGCATGCTCACGTTGCACAAAAATTGAGTACAGCCACCCAGACGCAAGCGACGTCCATGGATATAGTTACTATTAGTAAAACTTCGCGCTCACAATCAAATATAGATGTGAGCAGCGAAACGGTTGTGATACCACCCATTGTGAGCAAACCGCAGAGGCAGCATGTTAGCACCGCCACTAATATCAGTAAATGCCATATTGCACCTGCTGCTACAACGGCAACCAACTTAACAAATGCCGGCGCTGTGGCAGGTACTCTTAGTTGCAACGCGCCTAGCAACCGGCCGGCAGTTATAATTTTGAATGACGATCGCACCGGCGACAGCAGCGCCGTTGGCATCGAATTCACGTTTGGTGACTTCAACGAGGACGAATTGAAGTTCTTCGACGACAACATTGCCGAAGACGAGTGCTCTGATGAGTTGGCAGCTGATGATTCAGCGATACAGCAGCCATCACAATCAGCGGCCGCTCCAACTTTGAACGCTGGTGGTGCAAACAGTGCGTATACAAAAAATGCTGTCGTGCCAGTAGAGAACGTCGGACTCTATGCAGCAGTCAGGGCTGCATCGCCACAGCCAACTTTTGTCGGGCCGCCTTTAAGCAACGTTCCTGTTGTTAAAGACATTGGACTTATTGTGAAAACGCCAGTAACCGCAGTCGGTAACGCTGTCAACAACAACACCGTTGATCAAGCCAACGTGAATGACAATAGTAGCGTTGGAAGTGTGGCCGGTTCCGACACTGACTTACAGCTCCAGCTGCAGTTACAGCAGCAGCAGTTGCAGCGGCGAAATAGCGAAACGCAAAAGTTGCAACAACTAGAGACTTGCAATGACATTGAGACCGCCATTATAGCTGCGGCGCGCGCAGCCGCCGAACAGCAACATCAACAGCCACCAATGCAGCCACCACCGCTGCAGCAACAACGTTCATATCGGCACAAACACCAACAACAATATAGAAGTACTTCCTATGGCAACGCTTACGAGCCACCACAACAGCGCGAGCAACGTTCACAGTCCGCATACACGCGTGATACGCCGAATAACTACCAACAACAACATCACTATCATAGTCAATACCATCAGCAGCCGCACTATCACTACCACCAAAGTAGCAGTAGTAACAGCGCCTCACGCAGTCGTAGCAGCAGCAGTAACAACAATGCTAATTCATATGATGTTTCGGGGAGCACACCGCCTCCACAATCACCAAATCCCACAACATCCGTTGTTGTGAATATACAACGTAAAGAATTCGACATAAATTTCATTCCGCCCACAGTGTCGAACGCATACAACGCGTTGCAACACAACGAGATTATTGTGGATTTCATTGGCTCCGGTAAGTGCAAGCAAGAAACATGTCCACCGCTTATTTGTAAATTTCAAGGTTTTAGCACAAATTAATATCTCTAGTAGTAGGCAGTGTGGGCATGTAGCGATGTCACACAATGTGAATTTGGCTCTCTCTAAGGCCCCACTTTACATTGGGTCTTTAAAAATTTAATGTACTAAATTTTTTTATTTCCATAGCTTGGGAGGAAGTGGCTAAAGTGACGAAATTCTACGAAGGACAATAAAACGCCGCCACAACAGTAGCAGCAAATACATAGGCATTGCAATCACTGCATTACAACATAAACAAAGCCCAAAATTAAACAAAAAAGAAAAAACGACAACACGCCCATGCGCCCATGCGCCAAACATGAAAAGCCGCAGCGTCTGACAGAATTTGTTACCTACAGCGTGCCTACACTAGCGTGGCGTAGGCATGACTGTCAGCTTTACCAAAATGCATAACGAGTAGTTACCGGCTTGTGACATTTTGTGTTATTTCTGCTGGGCGCTTATAATGTTGTTTGATTAAATTAAAGTGTTACGCTGAACTCAGTGCCGTGGTTGCGCGTTGCATTGTCAAATAAACGAAATCGCAAGTACGTAAAGGCAAACAAATATAACAATTATAATAAAATCCAAATACAGAGTGGGAAAAAGAGCGCGTGTGAAGGAGGCATACTTGTAATATACAAGGATATATACATACGTATATATGAAAACGATAAACACAAATGCACATAAATATATGTATGGCCTAATAGGTAACCAAAAATGTATATATGTATGTGTATATTGATTTTGTCTGTACATGGCTGCTTGTGTGCTTTTATCGCTTCGCTGAAACTCTAACTCTAACTAATATAAATATTATTTTAATTTACTTAGAAGTTAATCAGCGAAAATATTAGTTTATAAAACGAATACGAATTCGAAATCCATAGAGAGAGAGACAGAGAGACAATGTGAAAATGAGCGTAAAAGATGAATTGAAATAAATATGAAAAAATATAATTATGAAAATATATGGATGTAGAAAGCGTGTGGAAATGGTTTGAGGCAGCACATAGGAAAGCAACGTAAACTTGAACTGTATGAAATCTCTCATATGTACTTGAAAAAAAAAATATATATATTTTTATTAAACTGGAAACTATACATTAAAATACACATTTAAATAATTTTATATGCAAATTTAATGAATTGTTATAAACAACTAAAACTTTCTGATTGTAATGCTGTGAACGAAGGGCTTAAAGTACAGATGATTTTACAATGCAGCAAATGTCTGGCAAGCGGAGTCGTGACTGAAATGGCAACTTGGCGAACTCTGACGCTTCGGATTTGCTCTCTCTAATAGTACGCAAGCAAAAGAAGCTGTACAATACATATAGTAGTTATAGAAATGCGTACATATGCAAAAATATATATTAAAACATTTAAATATATAATTAGCTACTATAAATGTACTTTATTATTGTATGTTTACATTTATATACATGTTGTGCTGCTGTCTCGGAACGCCGACTGCACTCAGTGAGTGCGAGAGTGGGAGAGTGTAGCATAGAGAGTTGTGTGACAAAAAGCAAAATTAAATAAAAAAAATTAATTTGTAAAAAGTTGATCAGTTAGAGGCAAAACAATTAAACAAAACTAATTGTAACTGTATCAGCACCGCACCTTCTCTATTGCAGCATTCCAGTGAGCGTTCTACGTGTAAGCAAACGTAGCAGCAGCGCAGACAAAAACAAACACGAAAAAGGCATATATAACACAACATAAATAAGCCAATAAGTGAAATAGCGGTAAAGCGAATCAACTGAACTATTAAAATAATGCATAAATTACAAAAACAAAATAAATAATAAACACACACGTATACAACTCATATGGTGGAAAACATTGCATACATGCACATTTGTAGATATACATATACATATATATTAGTATATGCCGCTCGCATTAATAATAAATAATAAAAGTTGTAACTGTATAATTAATAATGGCAATGAAATAACGCGATATTAAAACTTATTTAACACTAACTAAACTACTAAAAATAGCAACAAAATTTGCAAAAAAAAAAAAAAATACAATAATAATGAATTAAAATTCTTCAATGTACAGACGTGTTCGAAATAATAAGAACAACCAAAGTGAATATCGAAATCATTGAATAAAATTTTCTCAGTAATATTTTATTGA